TACCTGGAGAATCAGCCACACCTTCGTGTTTAAGGCTCTCTGAGCTCCCATCAAAAGCAGCACTTTGCAGAGAAAGAGCGGGAAGGAACCCATCTTTCACATACTCTGTGGGAAAAGCAACACTGAAAGGACTAGTCAGTACTTGCTCCAAGTTAAGCTCTCCCTCCTCTGTCACTGAAAGGTGTCGGAACTGTTGATATTTGTCATTATCCTCCAGTTCTTCTTTAATGACATCAGAAAAGTCTGTTGAGGTTTTTCTGTCAGGGCTGATCTGGAAGTCAGTATCTCCTTGGTCATCAGAAGTCCTGCCCTTCACAACCGCTGTATCTTTGGCACTTTCATCATCAAATACTGGAGGGAGAGGTTCAGTTGGTTTTTTGCTGCTCTGCTCTTTTACCTGCTCTTTACCTACAGCTTTCTTGGTAATTTCGACAGTAGAAATGTGCATTTTTCCTTTTTTTGATTGCGGCTCTTTCTCTGCTTTTAATATCGTGCTTTGTTTGTCCTTTGGTTTGTCTGTCTTGTGGCTTGATACTCGCCTCGTTTCACTTTGTGAAGGAGTTGTTTTTCTCCGGGTTGTTTCCTTCTCCGGGAGCTGTTGCTTCTGTTTGACAGATTTGTGCTCAAACAGTCCAGATATATTCTTGGATGGGTCTTGACCTGACTGGAAGGCTTTCATCAGTTCACGAACTGACATGGTCTCTTCAAGTCTTTCCGTCTTAGAAGAAGGTGAAACAGGCGGTTGTGCTTTGTGTGCTACCGGTTTTTTGACTTGTGCTGGTCTTTTAGAAGCCTTTTCAGCAGTGCCTTCTCTTGTTTGAATTCTGACAGGTAGTTTTGACCGTATTTTTTGTTCATCTTCCACTCGCTTCTGAAGAGCTTTAACTTTATCTTTTATTGAGCCAATAGGAGTTTCCTCTATAACAGGGGATACAGCTTTAGCCTCAGGAGCAGCTGTCAGTGTTAAGCCAGGTTCCTCACCTAGCGACTCATCTGAAGTGAGCTTTGTTAGTCCTGGTTGTTCTTCACTGCTGTGCATCTTGCCTTCCTTTTGCTTTTGCTTGTCTCTTAATTTTGTCCTAACTGGCTTTTTAATTTCTAAGGCTGGCTTGTGTTGCTCCTGCGGACTTAGTGTTTCAGTTGTTGGAGATTCTTGTCTCTCTTTTTCAGAATCCCTGCTTATTACTACAGCTTCAAATCTCTCTTCTACCAAGTCTTCTTGTAAGGCCTGTGGCTGTACCTCATGAAGAGAAACATATGTTTTTAAATCCTCTGTAAGGTAATCTACCACTCCTGTCATGTCTGGCTTCTCCAGTTTTGTCATCCCTTCGCCTACCCTGACTTCTACACAGGTAGGTTCAGTGACTTCTAAAGGAGCATTTCTTCTGGCCTCTTCAATTTCTTCATCACTGACAATGACCCATTCTTCTTCTACAAGTTCTTGTTTGGAAAGGGACTTCTGCAAAACATGTTCTTCTCTGGTATAGGATCCACCTCTCAGAATTTCATTTACTTT